ATTAAACATTGTTTCATAATGCAGAAAGGAGCACATTAAGTTGGCACGAGTAGTCTTAATTCAGCTATTCAGCCGCAGAGCAGCTCCACAGTGGCTGGAAGCAGTGTTTGCACCACAACCTCTGGGGAGATGGGAAAAGGAAAGGGAACCAAAGAGAAGCGGTGTTACAGGCACAGCTTTCCATGCTCTCATTCTCAGTGCTCAGGCCCAGTGTAGGCACAGGCACAGGCAAGGCCCTGTGGCTCTGTGGGCCAGCTCCAGCCCACATGTTGTCGACCCTTGGTCTATGACTATGTGATATTTTCAATTCTTAGGATTCTGAAGAACGTTAAAGGTGCCATAAGCCAGTGGCTTCAGTCAGTTTGGGAAATACATAGCATTACATAGCTATTCCTTAATGTAACTAAGGCTTTTTTCAGAATGAATGAGCTTTATGCAAATTAAACTATTTAGCACATACTTGGCAATGTGCAAGTTCAAATAGCTGTTCAAGCTTTAACTAAAGCAAGCTGTCTAAACATTATCTAATACATATTATCCCCATTTTACTGATGCAAAAATGGAGGCAGAGAGCTGAAGTGACTTGCTCAAGACTACACAGGAAATTACTGGAAGAGTCAGGGTTAGAATTTAGGACTTCCCGACTCTCCAACTCCTCATCTATTGTGTTACAAAGCAATACGGAAGCTTCTCTTTAAGAAAACAACCTTTTTAACATAGCTCACATATTTCATATCTCTACTAATTTCTACACTGCAAGCTGGAAATTGAGACTTACTACGTATCTGGAAAACATCATATCAGATGGCTCCAAAGTTGGAATATAGCCTGAAACTCTCCAGCAGTTAGGAAGCGTGGGAAGAATTATGTACTAGTTAATGTAATGCTCAGAGGAATGGGATTGAAATCCAGCAAGGTTACAGGTCAGCTGGGGTGGACAAATACATTTCTCTCAGGAATCCTGATGGGAACAAAGGATTTGTTCATAGAAAGACAGACAAATCAAGAGCAGATTGAGAATCAGGGCCTGATTTTACTCAATATGAAGTCAAGGAGGTTTTTACTATTTATCAGTTTCAGCACAGTTAAGCCAGAGGCATTATGAATGAAACAGAAATTTGACTTTCTTTTTTGCCTATTTCCTGGTCTTATTATGTGAGTGAATGAATAATCAGGAATCTGGTTTTAAGTGTACAGACCAATAGGTTATCATCAATAAAGGCAACTGCATTTCATGTGTGTTTGCATATTTTTGCTCTCTCTTTTATCCTTGAGCTCAGTTTTTTGTATAGATTTGTAAATTATAAAAGGGGAGGGGACATTTAACAATACAAAGGTTGTCAGAATCAGCATTTACCAAATGTTACCACGCAACATTGTCCAACTGGAAGGAATTGTAACAAATTACAAGTCTTTAATGGTGCTCCAAGAACATAAATTCCTTAAGCTGTCTGTTATACAGAAAATTTGCAAGAGAGCTAGGAACAGAACTCAAAAGTCCTGACTTCCTGCCTAATCATTTAGACTATCGGTATTACTCGATGTATGGAGATTACCGTGTACTAGTGTTGTGAATGTTTTTGAAATTATTTCAGCTCAGTAAAGGAAAACTGGAATGTCTGGGAAATCTATACCAGGTCTTAAACCTTCACAGCTGTATTACTTTCCCAGTGTTTCGTGTTCTCTCTTTCAACCTTTTCCTCCATAAGTTCAACTAGAAACTCTTTGGGGTCAATATTTTCTAGGTCAGTACAGTACCATGTACCCCATTGCTATAATTATAACAATTACATCTTTCCCAATAGTAGAGCTTAGGCACTCCATTTCCTCAGAGGATGCACAAAATATATCCAGGCTGTAATTCAGAATGGAAAGGTTTTACCGGATCATCAGTCTGACATTCTGGTGATATTTCCTTAGGCTTGGTTCACTCAAATCTTATAAAAACATGGCCTTGGTCAGGTTAAAGCATACCAGTATAAAATATTTTCTTGTTCTTTGAAATCTCACTCTGCATTTAAAAATATTGATTTTACCCCTATATTGACAGCACCTTCCTAGCATTGTGCATCTAGATTTTACAATATGTGGATGTTTCTTATAAGCAAAATAGGAAATCTCAGGCCCTCGGTCTTTAAATGGACCTGACATCTATTGATTTTATTGGAAGCAGGACTAAATCTGTAGCAATATCCAGACAAAAATTAAACCTAGTCACTATTTTCATGTTATTGCTAATAGATGCAGTCCTAGGACATACAGGTTTTCTATAAACAATTATTAAAATCATCAGTCAAAACCAGAAACCAAGTTAGGCTTGTGAAAGGCAATTCTAACAGGTTTGCTCCTCATACTCTCTCATTTGTTGTTCCTATTACAATAGGAAATGCTGCCTTATGATAAGCAACATGTCCTACTAATTAGCTACAGGGATTTTAGGTGCATATTTGCTCCCTAAAATAATAAAATACAGATGTGGTAAAGTCATGGTTTCTATCAATCAGTATATGCATCCCACAGCATTGAATCATAAGTGTGTGTGCATGTGGCACAGTAAAATGCACATGGTATCCACAGTCAATACATGGGCCAAGTTGGCTGTCACATGCATTTTTGTCAGCTTATTCAGTCCATCTGTACTTGTTTGTCCTTTTGTAATATGATCTGTTTTCTTTCTAGTTGAATTGTGCAAGGTGAACAGAAAAATTAAAATTTAACAGTTTAATATCTGTAATCATCACAGACGAATCCTGCTACAAGAACCCAAACTTCAGTGAAACTAGAGCCTGGCCCTGAAGTGGTTCTACTTCAGAGAAGAAAGCAATACTAAAACCAGATAGTACATACCTTTTGTATCACTGTGGAATTTGATAGGTGAGAAGGAAGAGAGAATTAAGAATCAGCTCCCTTTAGCACACAGATAGTTATTCTCTTCCAATGGAAGGGAAGGAATCAGAGCTTTTACCAGGACTGTGGAAGTTCAGAAGCTACAAGAGCCTCAGCATGCCTGAATTTCTGCTCTTTAACTTCAGAAGGAGAACTCCTCCCTACATACAGCATGCCAACATTCACAGCCTGTTTCTTCTAGGTGAGTACAAAAATGCAGATGTCTCATAAGAGAACTCATACATAGATTTAAATATCATGTATTAAGACACTTTTCAGCCAAAAAGCTGCAAATAAACTGCTACTGTCCTTATCTGGCAAGATCCTGTTCAGGATACCACCCACATCCAAAGCAACAAGTTCTCCTATGGACCCTGCTCTCTTTCAGATATGGTAGATAGCCTCAATTGGTACAGGAGCAACATTGTTATGAGGTCTCAATAGATAATTTTATAACTGACCATCAATACATTCAGATGTATTGAAAAACATACACATAACTTGCTTATGAAGTAATAACCATAGTCTTGGCTGAACATGAACAAAGATCAAGGTGCTTAGCAACCAAAATATTTACTGTACCCTTCTCAAGTTATCTTTATTGAAACCTTCTTCTTATCTAGCCACAAGCCAATTACAAGCTCTTACCTCTCTGAAGGAGCTCTTCTTAGATGGGTGGGTCCTTCCCCTTAAAGCATACCTTAGAAGAAATAGGAACAGATATAAATCTCAATCCCTGTAATATCTTGGAGGGCAGGGAGAATAGCTCCTTCTTGTCCTCTTTATTAACTTCTGAGGAACAGCTGAGGTTAATAGAGATAACATGAAAATCCACCCTTTTCCCAACTGCTTTCCATGATGCAACCCAACAGGTGAAACAAAACCAAATTTTCAGCTATCAGGGACCCAGGGCCTGAAAATATACAAGAGCAAGTTTGTGTGGTCAAGCTGCAACTATTCCCTTTACTCCTCTATACTCCTTTTCTCTGTACTCTATTCAAAGCTACTTAAAATCTGAATGGGGGATTTCTGTCCTGTATGTACTTCTGAACTACCAGAACCAAGACTGGAATAGAGACAGGAGCTTTTTCAAACCATTACCTGATTGAAGCCCTTCCAACTATTTCTTGACCAATGCTACCTGTAATATTCAGTTAACATTGAATCAGCTAGCTTCAAACCAGCTATTTCAACACAAAAATCTTGATATCTCATGACTAAACTCCTGACCATAGGAGATGGTGCCAGATTGGGTAAGAAGCTTCACTACTGCTCCAGAAGTATGAGTTTAAGCTTTGATCACTACTTGTGAAAAAGGATGGCCCTGATCAACATAGTTGTAAATGGGGACCTGGGCTCCTGGGCTGGAAAGTTAAAGGCAGCTGGATGTGATGCTAGCTATATAACCTTTTTGTGCTGTTGCCTATAAATATTGGTGTTCTTTAAGCAAAATGGGCCACAAGGCACAGGAAGAACTTTGCCCTCTTCTGAATATTTCCTAACTGCAAAAATAGTAAGACTATGACAGTTGAAACTGTAGAATATTCTTCAGTGAGATATTCAGAAATACACTAAATAGGCATCTATTTGAAATGGTTTAAGAGCAACATGCTGCATCTGGGCAGAGGATTTGATTAGATAATCTTTTGAGTCCTTTCAAATTACATGACTTAATAATGAGGTGATGTTGTTGCTGTGATAGTCCAGAAGAAATGTGAGAAGCAAGAATTCTTGTGGATGATATCTTTTATTGGGTCAACTGTACGGTTGGTATAATCATAGACAAGCTTTCCGGTATCACAGTACTTGAGGCTTGATGATGGGTACTGTGATACCAGAAAACTTGCCTATGTATATACCAGCAGTGCAGTTGGTCCAGTAAAGATATCACTCACCAGAACGTGCTTCTCACATGATTCTGCAAAGGCATCCACAGATCCTGAGGCATCCACTCCCCCAATTTACATCAAGACTCTTAAATTAGGTTGAAATTTCAAGGCAGAAAATCTGTCTTTCTATCTAGTTTTACAGTATCCAGCACAATGGAGGCTTGGCTCTGGAACTCTTGGTTAATAACTTTGTTCAGTGACATTATAATGAACATTTTGGAACACTTTCCATGTTTTTATCACTTTATTCACATTGTATTTCAATAAGATTGCTTTCAACCACCTAAAAACTGCAGTGTTGTTTCCTACATATGAAAAGCAACCTTGATACATATAGATACCAAAGGAAAGGATATACAGTATTTACAACTGAAAACGCAGTAATAGTTTGCAATATATGTGTTTTATTTTCTGTGTACCATAGGTCAGAAGCTTGGTATTCTACTTATACCATTCTAGTTAAAAAAAAATTAAAAAGAGAGAGCAAGGCAGGCTATTCAAACTGTTGGCACTGGCTCTGAAGAATTCTGTTAGAGGAGGGTAATGAAGCCTTTTTTACTGGCACATACTGCAGACAATAATACATCATGGTTTATAAAAAATGTGCATTTGGGGCAAAAGTCAGGATAAGGTCTCTGTTGACAACCATAATTCTTTTATTAGACGTACTTTACTGAACATTGAACACTGATGTTTATGTAGGCACAGAAATAGAATAACAGCACAAAATCGAAATGATAAAGTGCAGACCTGTACTGAGAAGCAGGCCTGGTAAGACACTCTACTCTTACAACTCAGCAGAAAATAAAAAGGAATTGAGTTTAAAAGAGAATAAGTATACCGTAAATTATGTTCTGAGTTAACAGAACTATACAGCATTTCCCACAAGGATAAAAGCATTTAGAAAACAAGTCCATGTGTACAAGCACACAGTAGGTTTTTGTCATGTTGAGTGCTGGAACTGAGACTTAGACTCACAGAAGTGGTTTATTAGAGAGGAAGCAAATTTAACAGCTCTGTACAGATTAGAACAGTTATCTTAAAATGATCCCTTTCCTTAATGCTGACTAGTATTTTCATGAAGTGAATTCTAACAGTGACCAAAAAATTCATGTTAACTTCAAAAAGTCATATATTTAAATTGCGGTTTTCAACCTGTCGGCATTTCTTTACTGTGTTTTTGGCTAACCCTACATTTTTCTTTTTTTGCTATTTGTTTCTCCAGAAATGCCAAACGATTTTTAACTTGTATGTATATATGGCAATTATATTTCAAACTAAATTTTATACACTTAACAAAACAAAAATCAAAACAGTTTCTATAACCATGATCAAGTGTGTGATGAGAAGGGACAGAAGCAGGGAAGTCGAGTTAAAGTCATGTTTTCAGATTCTGGCCTATGTTAGATCCAATTCCTACATGTGCCATAAATTTCTAAGCAAGGTTCAGATGATAAAACAGTAAGCGGTGCTTCTGATAACATCAGCCCTGCTTTTTTTTTTTTAATCTCCTTAAGGCAGTCTTCCACAGTTATTAGCAAAATAAAATATATATATTTTCAGGGTTGGTGCACACACCAAAAAGCAGAAACAGGAGGAAAAATAAAACTAATATCAAACTACAACATGATTTTGTAGTAAACAATAGAATATAACGTGCAATAGTGCAATTTCTCCTTTGCTCCAACAATACAAGTCTTAATATATTGTCCATTGATTTTTTACATCCAGCATTTCACATTTAATTGCGTGTTTGTCGTGGATTGTTATTCTTGCCAGACTTTTGAGCAGAATCGCTTTGACCAGGCTCATTTTTGCTTTTTCCAGAATGACGGAGTTTCTGATCCCAGCGCTGAACATTTAAACAAAATTAAAAAAATAAAAATAAAAACAAAGAACAGAAGGAAAAAATATTTAATGAAAGTACAATTGCATTGTGCTTCAAACTTTCCTGAAACATATATTTATATAAAACTAGTTCGTAAATTATAATCAAATGCCAGAAAACAACATTACTAAAAGATCTTGTCCTCCCAAGGAATGATGTCAGAATGATTAAAGAATCTCATGATGGATCCAGAGGCATGAGTCTGAGCTCAATTTCAGATCTGTGCTGAAGTCTGCCACTCCCTCATCAATCCAACTCTAAAGACTGGGAGCTCAGGGTTGGGTGGGCATGACTTCTAGCCTTATTACAACCCTTGTAAGCAATTTGCTAGCTTTCAGGTTCAGTTGGATAATATGTGGCTATCATAGAAAATGCTTAAGACTTTATAAAGGAAAAGTAAATACACAATTTAAAAGGACAGCTCTTAGGGATCTATACCAGAAGGATTACCTATCCAATCCATAATTTACAAGGTGTATCAGGACCTTGTTTGCATGTTCTAAGTGACACTTTATTTCTTAAGTCTTGTTACTTCACCTGGGTTTTTCAGTAGGGATGTGCCATTTTAAAGATTCACATGCTAGCTACTTACTGGGCACATCTATACAAGATGCTATGGCGCAGTGGTTACTGCACATGTATTTAGTACTTGTATAAGCAAATACTAAATAAATGCACATTAACCGGAGTTGTTGCAGTCAGGCCAGCAAATGTCTTTTAAGTGATGCTACTGCACAGTAGCCTAATGATACTGGGCAGCAGCATATTAGCACTGTCTGTGATATGACATGCTACTGCACAATATTATTAGGCTACTGCACAGTCAGTGTCTCATAAAGATGTACCCTCTGAGGCCATGATTTTGCAAGCTGATTTCCACAAACAACGCCCTAATGGGGCTCTGTGTGGATGCACTGGTCTACTCACATGAATCAGTTGACAGGCTCAGAGTCTCAGGGCCCAATCCTATGAGATGTTGATGCCCCTCACCGGGAATGGAGGGCCCTCAGCATCTCATGAGATCATGCCTTAAAAAATAGACAGTGTGTTTTTACACAGTCAGAAATGTGTGAAAATTACAGAACAAAGACTTTAGGCAGGAATGAAAGGGGAGAGCTTCAGGTAGATTATTTACAATATTCAGAATTTTGAAAGAAAAAAATTAGGTTCACCCTAAAACGCCCTTCTAGCTGCTACAACTTAGAATTGTAGTGATGTTCTAGGACATAAGAACCAGAAAGTGAAAGTTTCTTGTACAAACTGAAAAAATGCAAAGAAGAGCGTTATATTGCACAATAAAAAGCAAATAAGATTTTAGCAGCCTTGACCCCAAGCCTGCAGATGTTCTGAATTCATTCAAGTAGATTCACTAACGTCAAAGTTATGTGAATGCACCCTGTTGATGCATAAAATTAGGCACATGCCTTACTTGTAGAACCAGAGACCTTAGGCCTTGTTAGAAGCATAAATAAGAAACTTGTTTTTAGCTTAAGGGGTTTGCTGTTAATGCTACTTTAAAAAAAAACAAAAAAACAGATTGTGCCCTTTTAATCAAACAACTGTTGGCTGCCCAAGAGACCATATTAACATAATGTGAAAAAATTGGCCAAAACTGTGAGATGATGACTCAAGCAGGAAAGTACCTTACAGTTTTTTTAAACAGAACGTAAGTAAAGCCAACTGTGGACATTTTGGGGAAAACAGGATGGAAAAAGGGTAAAGTATTTAAAAAAGCAGAGCTGGCCAAAAGAGCCTGTGTTTGTGGTATAATCAAATGGTAATGAAGCTAGAAGGAACTTTTGCAGCAGAACAAGCATTAGCAGGTAACTGAAGTCACACTAATGGTTTCATTGTGCTTCAACAAGTCACTACTGGTCTATTCACTGGAGGCACTGAGTTAGTCCAGTTCCAAATGAGATCAATGGGTGCTGAAAGCAGCTCTGCACATTACAGGCTCAGGCTCTCCTCACATTCAGAATGAGGTGTGATACTGTTCTACTTTTGCACTGGAGCATATAATTTTGTAAAGCTCCCAAATGATTCAAAATGGATTGATTCAAAAAGGAAAAAAAAACCCTCAGAAGAAGTAGACAGGATTCAAATGCAATGTTTTTCACTCTGGTCCCAAATACAAGCAATCACATGTCTGGCTAATGATACACAAACTACTGTGTGGATGAAGCAATGGGAGATATATTTCAAAGCAGCAGCAGCCAAAGGCAAAAGCAGAATAAATCTAGCTAATGCAGTTGCAGATGCTTTTGGGAAGATTACTGTGAAGAATGAGTAGGAATAGTACAAGATTCTCAGCATAGCATTTCCTCACTGTTGATGTTTTACTTTGGCCTGAGGAAACTTAAGAGTAGATTCTATAATTGTTTGAAACATTGTTTCTTTTTTGTTAGGTTTGTGATTTGTGTTATGTCAGTCACAGCAATATTAGTTTTGTGGTACCGTTTTCTGCTGAGGTGGGAAAGAGGTGAGATTCTAGAGGTAAAGAAGAGAATGTTTCCTGGTGTTGAAAGAGATGCCTGAAATGATGGTATATTTCCACTTTGGAAAAAGTGGAGAATTTCACATGCCAAGAAAATAATAATAATACTAGTACCAAAAAATTGAAGCTACCGTGGTACTGAAGACCAGCAACACACTGTTATTTGTTCTGTGTTCTGGAGTTGTGAATGATACCAGATAAAACAATGATTTAAATAAACTGCCCTATTCTGTTAGCCTACACAATATCATAAAAGAAATATGAATGACACATGGACCCAAAAGAATTTCCATGTGTGTAGAGAATATTATTTTTCCAATAATTACCAATAAAGCTTTTAAAGAAAATTATGGGGAAAGAAGCAAAAAGATGTAGGCAATCTTTTTTAAGTCAAATCCACATGTTGATGCAATTGGTTAGAACAAAAGTATTTCACGTAAAATGATGTCCCATGTAAAACAGCCAAGGTCATTTGTACTTTGCTATGTGTCAGACATAAGATAAGTGGGTGTACAAGAATTAAAAGATATTGAGATGGAGACTGTGTCATGCTTTTGTTTGCTCCAATTCCTATACTTTTCTCTTTTTTTCTGTAAACTATGAAATCCCCTTCTTGTATTTTCCATTCACAGTGCAGCAAGAAACCAATTCTACGTAATTTAAAGAATAATACCATATTTTTTAAAAATTAACATTTCAGATATACAAATTACCATATTATCCTAAGTCTAGCAAGAAATAAGGTAACTGAAGCTACCAGTGTAGGTAAAAACACTGCCACACCGGTCAGCACAGAATATACTGCGAACATAAAGTCAAATTATAAGTCAGTTGCCATTAGCAGATTCAACAACTAAAAGTTTAACCTTAGATTCTCATAAGAACATTCAAATATCTCACATAAATGAGATTAGAATAAATCTGTAAAACTACCTTTTTCCTTTAGCTTAATGTACAGGATTCCCAAAGAACAGAATAAGAGCTGCAGATGCAGAATTTGGCTGCTCCTACTTATTGAAATCAATGGTCCAGATTTCAATCACTGCTATATTGGTGTAAATCTGGAGTAGCTCCATTTATTTAAATTATATTAATCTACATTTATCCCTACAATCAGAATCTAGCTAAATAAGCATTTACTCAAATTAATGAGCAAAGGATTGGATCTTGTACATTTATTTTCTCTTTCCTCTCTTAAAATTAAGGGTCAGATATTATTTTGAATGTTATGATCATAGGTAGGGACCTACCTAAATCGCAGTTTCGTGGATTTCACAGAAACCGTGAAAAAGAGCCTTGTCCACTGGGAAAAGCAGCATTAGCTGCAATTTCCCATGAAATCAACCACAAAAAAAAGCAGCAGTAGGTGAAGGTGCCCTCTGCCAACCAGTGGTAAGGGGCGGGGCAAAGAAAATAATGACAGACTGAGTGATGGCTTCCTCCACCAATCAGTGCCAAGGGGCAGGGCTGCCAGGGCCTCTCTGCCAATCAGTGGCAAGGGGTGTGGTCACTGCAAAATGTCCGTGAAATCGGCTCTGTGCACTGCTAGTGGTCTGTGAAAAACCCGTTGTTTTGCCACAACTTAGGTAAGTCCCTAATTATAGGATCATGAAATGTCTTACCTTTACTTTTTTACCAAGACGATCCTTCCATTTCTCCGCTATGGAGCCTTCTACCAAGAGTAACCTACACATTGCAAATACACCAGTTATTTTATTATCAAGGTATGTGTATGTTGTACATATTAACATAGACAAAACTAAAAGCATTTACTTAAGGGGAGAGGTAGAGATCCTTTTCATATTGAACAGTGATAAGTTCATTCCATTAACAGGCATTGATAATTAATCCTGAAAAGAATTCCGCCCAGTTTTCCTTAGATAGAATAATGGTAGATTCAAAATGAGGCTTCATGGGTTGGGGAATAGACTAGAGAAAATACTTTTAAACCACTGCCAAAAAAGTTACCTGGAGCGTTCCTCATCTTCATAGCCCATTATGATATATTCTTCATTAGTGTTGAGTGGTGGGCACAGACAACCAGAGTTTGTGTAAAGGTTAACTGTGTCTCTAGGAATGTTTACCAAGGATGATTTTAGAATCTCCTTTACTTCTACAACTGCAGTGACATCATGACATTTAGTCTTCACCTCCTTCACTTTAGCCCGAATGACTGGGAAAATATAACAAAGAGTATAGTTAACAACAGCAAATAATGCAGGTCACCCCCATTCCTGACCTTTTGAATTAGTCTTTTGTGTGTTCCTTTATCAAAAGCTTATGTGAACTCTAGCAAGATTTTGCCCAGGCTCCCAGTCCCACTTCTTTTCTTCATCACTTCCTCCTCTACTTTGAGTACATTACACATTTCAGGTGGTCCACGATATCTAATAGTAATGTAAATGTGCTTGCAGGGAATGATTTGTCAGTGGGACATTTATCTTATGCCCTGCAGAGTTTATTTTTAGCATCCATCTTGTATTCAACTCTGCATTTTCAATACCAAGTTTATAGATTATATAACTGCCTCCTTTACAGTCATCTTATACTATAGCTGCTTCCTTCTTGATCCGTTTCAGCATGGACTGCCCTATACACTTGCCCTTAATTTGTCATCTCAGCTTTTCACAAAATTGAGAGTATGCTTGAAAATTTTATTGTATCATTATCCCTATTGGGTGAAAGGACCTTCCCTTTTCTCTTCTCCCTCCAGTGACCCATCACCAATCTCCTTTTTTCCTACGAATTCCAAATGCTCCTGATCTTGACCTGATGACCTAATTGTTTCTTCTCTGATCCCTTCATTTTCCCTTCAGTTGC